ATATATATAGAGAGAGAGAGAGAAGGAGAGAGAGAGAGAGAGAGAGAGAAATATATATATATATATATAATATAATATATATATATTATATATTATATATATATAAATATATATATATATATATCCTCTTCTCTTCCTTTCCTCTCCTCCTCTCCTTCCTTTGTGCGTGGACCGCTTCATCAGAATCGGCGGGGTTTGTCAAGGCGCCGCTTGGCGAGCATGTCGTGGACGTGGGCCTCAGCCCTGGCCACGGCCTCGATGTCGCCCGCGAGCGCCACGGGCCCGTTGTTGGCGGGCTTCATGAATCTGACGGCGAATTCCCGCTCGAGCCAGGCGGCCTTGCTGTCCTCGGGGCCAAGCGCCAGAATGCGCTCCTCAGGCTTAATGTTTAAAGCCACGAGGACGTGATTTGGGCTCAGTTTCAAGTTGGCCATGAGCTGTAGCTCGACGACGGCGGCCATGGCTTTCTCCTTGGGGCCAGTGACCAAGATCTGTGCGTCGGGCTGGTTGCGCTCAGGGAGTATGACCCATACCCGGTGCCTTTTGGCGACGTGATTGACTCGGAATCCACCCCTGCCAATGGCTTAGCCGAGCCGGGCGGGCTCGACGGGAACGGGTATCGTCGTCATATCCTCACGCTGTTCCTGGGCGACTGCCTGGGTCTTCTTCCCGGGCTCTAGGGGGGCTGGGCGGGTCTTCTCGGGCTCTAGGGGGGCTGGGCGGGTCTTTTCGGGCTCTAGGGGGGCTGGGCGGGTATTCTTTTCGGGCTGTTGGCGGCTGCCCAGGTCTTCTTTCGGGCTGTGGCGGGCTGCCCAGGTCTTTTCGGCTGTTGGCGGGCTGCCAGGTCTTTTTCGGGCTGTTGGCGGGCTGCCCAGGTCTTCTTTTCGGGCTGTTGGCGGGCTGCCCAGGTCTTCTTTTCGGGCTGGGGGGCTTGGGCTAGGGGCTGTTGGCGGGCTGCCCAGGTCTTCTTTTCGGGCTGTTGGCGGGCTGCCCAGGTCTTCTTTTCGGGCTCTAGGGGGGCTCCCCAGGACTCCCTCACGGACTGTTGGCGGGCTGCCCAGGTCTTCTTTTCGGGCTGTTGGCGGGCTGCCCAGGTCTTCTCAGGCTCTACAGGGACAGTCAGGGTCATCTTCTCGGAATGAAAGAGGGATGCCCAGGTCTTCTTTTCGGGCTCTAGGGGGGCTGGGCTCTTCTTTCGGGCCGGGTCGGGGGGGGCTGGGTCTTTTTCGGGCTGGGTCTTCTTTTCGGGCTGGGTCTTCTTTTCGGGCTGGGCTGGGTCTTCTTTTCGGGCTGGGTCTTCTTTCGGGCTGGGTCTTCTTTTCGGGCTGGGTCTTCTTTCGGGCTGGGTCTTCTTTTCGGGCTGGGTCTTCTTTTCGGGCTCTTCTTTTCGGGCTGGGTCTTCTTTTCGGGCTGGGTCTTCTTTTCGGGCTGGGTCTTCTTTTCGGGCTGGGTCTTCTTTTCGGGCTGGGGGCTGGGTCTTCTTTTCGGGCTCTTCTTTTCGGGCTGGGTCTTCTTTTCGGCTGGGTCTGGGCTGGGTCTTCTTTTCGGGCTGGGTCTTCTTTTCGGGCTGGGTCTTCTTTCGGGCTCTTCTTTTCGGGCTGGTCTTCTTTTTCTGGGCTGGGTCTTCTTTTCGGGCTGGGTCTTCTTTTCGGCTGGGTCTGGGCTGGGTCTTCTTTTCGGGCTGGGTCTTCTTTTCGGGCTGGGTCTTCTTTTCGGGCTGGGTCTTCTTTTCGGGCTGGGTCTTCTTTTCGGGCTGGTCTTCTTTCGGGCTGGGTCTTCTTTTCGGGCTGGGTCTTCTTTTCGAGGGGGCTCTTCTTTTCGGGCGGGTCTTCTTTTCGGGCTCTAGGGGGGCTGGTCTTCTTCTCGGGCCGGGTCTTCTTTTCGGGCTCTAGGGGGGCTGGGGGCTCGAGGGGGACTTCCTGGGTCTCCTTGGGCTCGAGGGGGACTTCCTGGGTCTCCTTCTCGGGCTCGAGGGGGACTTCCTGGGTCTCCTTCTCGGGCTCGAGGGGGACTTCCTGGGTCTCCTTCTCGGGCTCGAGGGGGACTTCCTGGGTCTCCTTCTCGGCTCGAGGGGGACTTCCTGGGTCTCCTTCTCGGGCTCGAGGGGACTTCCTGGGTCTCGGGCTCGAGGGGGACTTCCTGGGTCTCCTGGGGGCTCGAGGGGGGTCTCCTTCTCGGCTCGAGGGGGACTAGGGGGACTTCCTGGGTCTCCTTCTCGGGCTCGAGGGGGACTTCCTGGGTCTCCTTCTCGGGCTCGAGGGGGACTTCCTGAGTCTCCTTGAACTCTTTTGTTACAGAGCGAGTCGCGCGGCGGGCCACGGTGAGGAGTCCGACGACTATGAGGACGGCGACGGCGACACTGAAGAGAGTCCTCTTCACTGTCGCTACCTGCGCGGTCACGGCCAGAGCAAGGGCCTGAAGCTTCAGCAAGGACTTGTTGTTGCACTCCAGCTGTCGCTGGAGGGTGATGATCCTCGGTGTGTACCAAGGTGACGCCGGCAGGTCGCACAGGAGGACACCTATTTCTTCTTCGGTGGCAAACCAGCGCGGAATCTTGCCCAGAGTCTTTTAAATAGAGAGACGCTGTAGTTTTACAGCGCTGTGCTTCGAATCGACTAGTCGCTGCTCCACGAAGACAATGGACGCGAACACAATCGCCAAGGCTGTTAGAACGAGCAGTTAATTCATTTGCTCCATGAGAGGACAACATGCCGCTGTGCCTCGTATAGACTTGGTAAAGAGCAATAGCATTTGTTGTGATGGCTGTTTTTGCGTGCGTGTGTTTGATGTGTGTGTGTATGATTTTTGCGTGTATGTGTGATTTTAGTGTGTGTGTGATGTATATGTATATGTATGTATATATATATATATATATATATATATATATATATATATATATATATAGAGAGAGAGAGAGAGAGAGAGAGAGAGAGAGAGAGAGAGAGAAAGAGAGAGAGAGAGAGAGGGAGGGAGGGAGGGAGAGGGAGAGAGAGAGAGAGAGAGAGAGAGAGAGAGAGAGAGAGACATAACACATGAATTCACATATATGACATGTAGAGTGACCTTCATAAAAATGATTCATTTATAATACATCTCAAGTGAATATGTATATCCATCTTACTTCTCTATATGTCTCCGTAGTGCAGTGGTTAGCACGGTCGCCTTTAAAGCGACAGACTCGGGTTCGATTCCAGACGGAAACCAAACCAGGACTACTTTTAAGCACGAATTTGTTTTGATTCTAAATTTGCTGACACACTCATCAACATTTTCATCTTTCTGGTTGCTTATCTGCCATTATCCTCTTGCAAATTGGCCACGAAAAGTATTCATCCCACAAAAAATTGAATTTCGAAAAATGGCTCCTTTCTCTCCCTCTCCTCCCCCCCCTTTTCTCCTCTCTCTTCTTCCCTCGCTAACACACTCTCTCTCGATATCTCTGTAACCCCCCCCCCTACTCTCCCTCCTCCCCCATCTCTTTCTCCTTTTCCCTCCTCCTCTCACACTTTTATCCCCATTATTGTAATTACATTTTTTTTTATTATCATGAATGTAATTTTTACCATCATTATTAGTATTGGTAGTGACTGTGTGTGTGTGTGTGTGTGTGTGTGTGTGTGTGTGTGTGTGCATACGTACATACATATAAGGTGAATTGCAAAACAAAACATGCACGAATAGACATGCACATAGACCACTCAATTTCGCTCTCACTAGTTCTCCTTGTGCATTAGACAGCAAATTTGAATGCGTTTAATCCTACAAAATCTAGTCATTCTTATATACATTAAAGTTTTATCACAATCGCTCTTCTGCGTCCATTTGTAGCCACAGAACAATTTACTTTTAGAAAAGGAATGTATAGAGGTGAGAGCCAAGAAGAGAGTGGACATGGCGAGGTTGATAATTTTATCTAAATCGATGGGACTGAAGTATGACTGTGATTATAGGCCTATGATAACACATCGCATCAGAATATATATTTTATTTTTGATCATTTTCCAATTTCTAATAACTTTTAACGTATGGTAAACAGAGATAATTCTAAGAATGTACACGCCGTATTGCTACAATGGCAAGGACATGCATTATTTAAGAATTATATTCTTAGATCAGTAAAACATGAAAATAGATTGCATAGACAACAGAGAGAGAAAGAGAGAGAACATAGAAACACACGAATTCCCATAACACATATGTAGCATAACCTTCATAAATACTGTGCAAGCTTAGTAAAACTAAATTTCTTATATGAATTATGAATCCCTGGTGCAGTGGCTAGCACGGTCGCCTTTGAAAGCGACAGACGCGGTTCGATCCCCGACGGAGACCAATAATAGATTTTTTATGCAGGAATTTGTTTTAATATCTAAATTTGCTTACACGTTCATCAACATTTCCATCCTTCTTTCTGGTTGCTTATCTGCCTTTATCCTCTTGTTTGAAAATGCATATATATATTTTTTGTTTTGTTTTGGTCTGTTTACGTTTATATGTGTATGTTAAAAAAGGAGAAAGGGAGAGAGTTCAAAAGCAAATTGGCCACGAAAAATATTCATCCCACTAATTTGAATTACGAAAAATGATTCTTTTCTCTCCCTCTCTACCCCCCTTTTCTCTCATCATCCCTTCCTAACACACTATCTCACTTTCTATATCTCAGTGACCCTCCTCTCCCTCTCTCTTTCTCCTTTTCCTTCTTGCTCTCACTCATTCTCTCTCTTTCTTTAACTGCAATGGTTATTTTTACTGGCAGCAATATTATCATCATAACCAATATCATGTAATTCTTTTTTTCACTATTATTATAATTACAATCGTTTATTATCATGAATGTAATTACCTTTCCCATTATTTTAGTACTAGTAGTGTGTGTGTTGATGAGATACAGACAAAGACACATGAATTGAGACACAAAGACAAATTCACCCAATACATGTAGCATAACCTACATAAGCACTATGCAAATCAAATAAAACTTAATTTCACACTTATTGTATGTCTCTGTGATATAGCGGGTAGGACAGTCGCCTTGAAAGCGACAGACTCGGGTTCGATTCCCGACGGAGACTAATCTTCAAATTTTTACTTCTATGCACGAATTCGTTTTACTCTAAATTTGCATAAATCAATTTTCCGTTTTTCTTTCTGGTTGCTTATCTGCTCTATTCTCTTACCTACATTTATTATCTATTATCATTATTTTATTTATATATATATATATATATATATATATATATATATATATATATATATAATATATATATATTATATATATATGATTTTTTTTTTTTTTTTTTTTTTTTTTTTTTTGCTGGTTACGCTCAATCTGTGTGTGCGTGTAAGAATGAAAAGAGAGGAAAGAAAGAGAAAGAGAGAGAGAGAACGAAAGAGAGAAAGAGAGATAGTTCATTACCCATATATCCCCATCTTTTTCTTTCATCGATTTTCTTAAATTTCATAACTATAGTAATAATTACATTTGATTCATTTTTTTTCACAGACCAAATTACGTTCGGCCCATAACAGGCTGAAGTTTCGATCGCGTGATTTTTTTTGCCACCCGAGCGGCATCATCTTCTCCTATATTCGCTCTTCAATCCAAGTCACAACACTATCAATAACTCACATCGGTAGAAAATGGACCCACACACGGAAAACCCACCACCACCATCACCATACCGCTCCGCACTTTCCCCCAACTGGTACTTCTATGCCCAAATATCATCCGGAGAGGGCCATCTCACTGAAGGTGAACCACGCGCGAACACGTGCGAGAGATGACTATAGTGGGGCGAGGCAAATAGCACGGAATAACATGGTCGCTGAGGTTTTCTCTCATGACATGGGGAGGGCTATGGTTCTGAATCGTGTGTCTGTCTCAGATCCGTATAAATCAGCGCATCAGTATGATTATTGTAGTGTATCTATTTCACTGAGATTGATTTGATGAGTAGATCTTCTATGAGTTGCCATATACCCTACGCGCCAGATTCCACGAAATATATATTTAAGAGAGCCACAACTGTATTGTGAAAAGCAGCAATTCACATTATACTGCATATCTAGAATGTATACTATAAATTGTGAAAGAACAATACTTGAGATGAAGAAAGGTACGAAATATATAAGGCATAGATAATTAATTGTGTCATTCTGGATTAGACTAACTTTAGATTGTATGCTATCTCTTAGGTACCGAATCGTGCCTGTTATTGTGAGAGTCGAACAGTCAGACTCGTTAGGAGAATTGCTACATCATAACTTGTCTTTCAGTAGCGATTCTTTCTCTCTCTTCATCTTTACAACGCACACACAGCATGAGCGTCGATACCCACACAACACCACCACCAAAGAGAAGGAAAAGAGCGAAGAGGAAGAGTTAGAGAAGAAACAACACATGAATTCACATATAGAAGCATGTAGTAAGTAAACCTCATAAATAAATATATATCAATATTATAATACATCTTACATGCATATGTATAATCCATCTTATAAATATGACTTTAATATTATATATTTTATTACGGGTTGTTAATGTGGAGTTTAATAACGTATTATATATTATATAAAGAAATAATTGATAATAATAAAGTGTGAAGCGCTTAAGAAGATAAAGAGCAGGACCAGAACACCCAACCGGAGAGAATAACGGAATTATATCGCAGTTTAATGGCGCAAAAAACAAGTGAATAACACGACGTACCGATGGCTCAGAAATTTTATAAGCAACTAAGTGTATGATGATCTAGTCGCGGTACTGTGGAATGATCCCTGAGCTGTGAGCTCTTTTCGAAAGGACGACTATTCACACACCCCTATTATATCATTTCCAGCTGATTATGGTTATGCTTATCTGCCATATAATGCTGTTCTTTACAAATTTAGGCCACGATAATATTTAATTTTCATATCCGTATCAAAATAAGTCCATGAAGTATTCGTAAAAAATGGCTCCTTTCGTCTCTCTTCCTTCCCCCCCCCCGGTGAGATCTGTCTTTGTTCTCATTCCAGTGTTTTGTTGTTTTCTTCCACTCTACTATCTCTCTCACTCGATACTAACTGAGTCATTCTCGATATAATTAGTGCTAGGTAACCTTAACCCTCCTTTCACTGATTTCTCCCCTACTCGAACCAAATAATATTGTACATTATTCTATATTCATATCTTAAAAAATTAAATCCACGGAATTAATCTTCTCTCTCTAAACTTGATTATTATTCGAGTTATGCAATATATTATTTGTGCCCTAAGTAATATAATACATACCTCCTATTGAGTTTATAGAAATGAGAATGTGAAAATCATGAGAGAAAGCTAAGATATAGATACAGTAAAGGAGAGGGGTAGAACGGATTAAGGGTCAGTCTGAGTGATATTATAGTATTAGGAATGTGAGAGATTTAGTTGTGAAGGAAAGCGGTATTGATTGAGAGGATGATAAGTGGGGTAGTTGATGAGGGAGATGAAATAGAATGATTTGTTCCTGGTAATGTTCAAGATTGAGTGGTATGGTATGTGTGTGTTGTGTTTGTTCTACATACTATCGTTAGGCCACAATTATTAGACTTGTGTGTGTAAGTTAGCAAAAAACCTAAAACTCACTACATGAATTAGCACTGTCACTATAGACCACTCCAATTTGCTCCTCACTAAGTTCTCTTGTGCATTAGACCAGCAAATTACACAGGCGTTTAATACCTACAATCATCCTAATCCTATTCTTTAATTTACATTTAAGTTATCATTAATTACTATCATCAGATAAACGTAACTACGCTTCTTCTGCGTCATATGCTAAAAAGCACATACACAAGAAAAATATACAATTATTGCCATACTTTTCAATAGAAAGAGAGGAGATAGTATAGTAGGTGAGACCAAAGAAAGGGAGAGTGACATGGCGACGGATTGAGAGTTTTATTAAAATCCGATGGGAGACCACGAAGTAATGACAGTAGATTATAAAGGCCCGTAAATAGGAGAATAACTACATCGGAGTTAGAATTATACTATAGTTTTATTTTTATTCATTGATTCCATTGCTAATAATATCTTTTAACATATGGTAACCAGAGATAGGATTCTACGAATGGTATCACCAGATAGTTGCAAAATGGTATAATAAAATGCATTTAAGCATTCTATTTAACTTTTAGACAACATTGAGAGCGAGAAGAGAGAGGGGAGAGCGAGAGTAGAAGAGAGATGAAGAGAGAAAAGAGAGAAGAGAGAGAGAGCGAGAGCGAGAGCGAGAGACGAAGAGAGCGAGAGAGCGAGGAGCGAGAGCGAGAGTCGAGAGAGAGAGCGCATAGCGAGGACGAGTATAGCGAGAGAAAAGGCGAAGATCGCGTAGAAAGCTTGAGAAGTGAGGTAGCAGCCAAGTCGGGGAGAGATCCAGCGACCGCAGTACGAGATGAGATATCCCCGCACAGTCTCGAAATAAGCAAAGGCTAAAGTCCTACCGTGAGCTTACGCACACTATGCAACCAGGTGACATGATTGCTGCATAATGAGAGTCAGTGTATTTCCATCCTATACTATGTCTAATATATTATTATTGTGTTTTGAGACTAAGCACGTACAGAGCAATAAAGATCATCATATCGCAAGGTTATCACTAGTTAACATCATATAAATATGAATATTGTTATTAAGTTTGGAATTCTTATCTTCGACTGTGTTTTACTATGTTTCCTGTGGACGTACAATATCTCCTTGATGGGTAAAACTTCCAACAACAAGTCATAGGAAATATAGAAATATGCACTCAAGGAATTCTCACATTTATTTCTCCATCGGTGTTTCGAATCGGGCCAGCTATGCAGGAAAAAAATGTTCTTAGAGTGAAGCCACTATAATTTAAAGTCTCCTTTAAAGAGCTAAAGTTGAAATGTTCGGTCTGCTTTGTGGCCTATTGGAGATAGTAAAACCGGCGTGTGTGTGAGCTCGATGCTATGCTTGAGAATGTTCAATAATCTCGCGAGAGAGAGAGAGATAGACTGCATCATCCTAGTCCTCGATATCATGTTCTTTCTCAATTTATCCCACAGTAATGTCATGAAATTATTTATTTATAACAGTTCATAGCAAAATTTTGAATAAGTTATAAATGAATCATCATAAAATTAATCAAATACAATAATCGTATATTGTTACTTGTCTCGTAGATTGCTAATTCCACAGAAACAATTATCATCAATTTGTGCAGATAAGACTTATAGTTCAAATCAGATGCAAGATAGAGATCGAGTATGCAGCGTCACGCCTATTCTGAAATGGCTTAGCAAGTAGGGCACATTATTATCTAGACTCATCAATGCTCTGAATTGTGAAGTCACAGCATACACTCTTACACGTGAGAGCAACTATCAGTGCACACGGCTCTATTGACATTAACGTTTTACACTATAAACAGTACATTTGTGAAGATTATCTGTTGCAGCGGCAAACAGATGGATCGCCAGCAAAGATCAGAAGGTAGCTTGTGATAAAACTTTAATGTATGTATAATGAAGCAGCGAAGGTATTATTGTCATGGATGAAACACAGACATTGTCGAAATTCCTGTGATTGCTCTTGCGTGCTAATGCAAGCGAGAGACGAAAACTGTTGTAGAGACACGCTGTGAATTAATTTGCTGAACGATGAGTGTACTAATTGTTGCTCAAATGAATGTCTCAATACTCCCGTATTCGGCTACAATGCATAATATGTAATATTATCATTAGTATCACCGAAGTTACATTTTACAATTTATATCCGAACGCTATTTAAACGAAATACATTGCATAGACACATTGAGAGAGAGAGAAACAGAGAAAAGAAAGAGAAAAGAGAGAGAGAACAATTAGAAATCGACAACGAAATTCCCCTACGTCATATATCACACAACGATTCAAGCATCAAAAAAACACCATTCCACACACAAGAACTGTCGACAAACACATCACTAACGAGCTGTATACACATACGCCTAAACATACTATATAATGATCGGATAACAACTGAAATTAACATATTCGATAGATCAACTCTGGTAAGACAAAGATAAGCAGATGCTAATTAACAATAGTGCGGCGATAAAAGTGCGCTCGAAGGTAGTGAAGAGGAACAGACAGAACAAGCACAGAGTTTCGGGATGTATCCCGCGGGAAACGAGTAGAAGGTACAATATGAAAAGTGTTATGGCAGGGAGAGTGGGGTGTTGTTAATATTTCTAAATTATGCTTACACCCTCATCAACATTTCGACAGATCCTTCTTTCTGTTCGCGGTAATGAATGAGAGTGCCTTTGATCCTCTTTCTTGAAAATAATCGAGAGTATAGATAGATTATTTGTATTTATTTGGGAATCAAATGTTTGAGCGTGGGTGTATAGCGGGGATAAGCCTATGCTTCACGTTTATAAAATGAGAGAAAGGTGAGAAGAGTTCAAAAGTTGTTCAGGAATGCGTCGCACGAAATATCCAGTGCCCATCTAATTTTGTTGCCCAGCCTGACGAAAGAAATAATTTCGTTGCTTGTCCTACGCCTCTCTCACCTAACCGTGATTCCTCATTGAGTGCGCTTCGCTACACACTAAAGTCATCTACTTGCTACTTATCACCACTCGTGCTTAGTGCTGGGTTTTGGGTTTCCCGTCTGCTCGCCCCGCGTCTTCTTCTAACACAGTCGGAGGCCCTCGCGTACTTCACCCGGAGAATAACCTACGTCTTCGTCTTTGGCACTGTACCTTCTTCTTCTTAATCATCCTCATTCAGTACTATCGTATTCCTTTACTTATACACTGGACTAGGTTTAACTTTTTTTACTGGCAGCAAGGGTATTCCTCATTCACTATCATAACAATGTCATCTATTGTAAGCATTAATAATGTTTCATCATTATTCTTAATCATAACTTTCGCTTCTCTCTACTCTTACTTCTATCATTGACTTGTATATTTACCCCTCTAATTATCTATATACTTCCTGTTGTGGATGTGTGTTGTGTGTGTGCTGGTGTGTGTGTGCTGTATCGTCTGTCTCATTCCTCTGCTGTATTCGTTGTGTCGTGTGTGTTGTGCTGTGTGCTTCTGTGCTCTGTGTTGTCGTGTGGTGTGTGTGCGTGTGTGCGTGCGTGCGTTGGCGTGCGTGGTGCGTGTGTGTGCGTGCGTGTGTGCGTGTGCGTGCGTGTGCGTGCGTGCGTGTTGTGTTGTGTGTGTACTTCTAATAGATTTTTTCCTTTCAAATGAAGTCTTTACTACCCCATCATAATAGTTAATGGTTAAAAAGCAAATTGTTGCTAGACATCTATGGTCATATAGCACTATAGGAAAGTATATCAAAAGGAGGGGTGAAGGGTGATAGATGTACTCCAGACATGATCAACAATATGTTCTTATGTACCATGCAAGGAGTTTCGCCCTCCATCTGTTATCCTTCTACCTATTTCCATTTCTAACTCCTCTCTCCTCCCTCTCCTCTCTTATCTATTCACCACTTTCCTTCGTTTTCAAGTTCTTCAAGTTCATAGATGCTATGCGTCATTCTCCGGACTTGGCACGCAGAGCGCTTGCATAGCTCCCAGACATCACTGTCTCATAAATAAAGTTGCACGGAGAAAGTAGCCATTGCATTCCTATCTGCATTGGCTTTCTACATACCAATGTGAGCCATGTATTTTTTACACTTGCAGCATACCCTCAGCCCCCATCACTGCAAGCTTGCAACGGGTCATTCTGTCGGTTGTTTGAAGCTGTGTATCCACACACTAATATGGTGAGTATAAATCTAAAATTATAAAACATATAATTTTGTCATAAACAATACTAAATGCTACAAAAAAATATTACATTAATGTTAAGCACATGTAGGAAAATACATTTGACTAAACAATGTTGTAAAGACTGGCACACAAGGTTATTAATAAGATGGCATTAATTATAAAATGGAACACTATGTTCAAAAGGTAGCCGACCACAGATCTAGAGTAATCTTGAAAGGTTTAAGAAAGGTAAAAAAGTTCCTGTCTGAATGGGTTCTGGCAGGTCTACGTAAGGGAATTACTTGGGGATTCACGTGTCTCCAGGAGGGAGTGGAAATGACATAGGGGATGGAGGGAGGGACAATGTACTTGTACTTGGAATTGAGAAGGGTGGGTTGCGTTGGGAGGGACTAGGTGGGAGGGGTGTGGGTGTTGGTCGGAGAATTTTGTGAGACAAAAGGTTTTCTTATGAGTGTGTGTGCATGCGTGTTTTCAAAATTCACGAGATTATCTCTTCTCATGGGGGGATAATTTTTTCCAAATTAATACTTTGCTCACCCCATTATTATCTTAGGAGGAAAGGAAAATCCTAACATAAGATTGAGCTTCATTTATTTATCATAAATATATTTATTACTCTCAGTAACTCCATCTTTGTTTGTTTGTTTGTCTGTCTGTCTGTCTCTCTCTATATATATACATACATATACATACATATATATATATATATATATATATATATATATATATATATATATATATATATATATATATATATATATATACATACACACATATACATACATATATATATATGCATATGTATATATATAATATACAAAAATATATACATTATAAATATATAAACACACACACACACACACACACACACACACACACACACACACACACACACACACACACACACACACACACACACACACACACACACACACACACACACACACACGTGTACTTTACTTTTGAGCTTCAAGCATCCCAATCACTAATGCTTGAAGGTTTGTGATGTCACTTATTGTATTTCTCAATTCCATCACAACCTTTGTAACGTGGCTGATGTAGGTGTCCTGAAAATAAATAAAGAAAAGAATTATGGTGATTCTATGTATAACTGAGGCTCTTTCAATTTTATTACATTTTTTTTCTGTAAGGTAAAATGAGTGAAGTAGTGTGTGTGCACAAAATGAATTCCATCTGTGGATTCATGAGAGGAATGACAAAGAGGATCAAGAATTTTTTCAGACTTCTTTTTTCATAACTACAATTTTATACATTTTCTTTTTATTATAATTTCCATGTATGTGGTTGCACTAACAAAAATGACATTCAAAAGAATATGAATGTAAAATAAGAAAAAGTGAGAATAACTAAAATGGAAGTCATAAAAAGACAAAAGAAAAGAAAAGGAAAGAAAGAGATCCTCTTAAAGAAATGTGAGAAAAAATAAAGAGTATAGAAACTTTACATAATCATTTCATGCATGCTCCAATGCACAGTGTAAGTTAGATGCTGGGACATTATTTCCCATTTCCTTGTATTTTTGTTTAATTTGGTAATTGTTTTCTTTGAGTACACTCCATATTATTACTACAGGTAGTCAATAATTCTTTACAATATCTATAAAAAATAATGTGTTTCTGTAGTTTTACAATATTCAGTTTTGTGTAACACATTTTGTCGTATTGATCAAGGCAGGCAAGAATAAGTTCTTATTCCTGGTAATGTACAAACTAGTAACAACTTAAAAGGTTAATATCTCCTTAGATTCAACAGGTCCCAAGCTTTCTACAAGTGAAATTGATAGACCACATGTGGAGGTATAATTACTGGGCCATGACCAACCTGAGAGGTCATGTAGGTTTCAGTAGGCGTGGCCTACAGTTGGGTGACTACGCCCATTGCCCCACTTTGGGTCACTTTTTCTCCCCCCTATACAGAGATCCCAGAACTTATATTGTTGATTATTGATGATGGCCATGCAAGGGTTGAAAAACAAGTGCTATCAGTTTGGGACCTTTATGAAGGTTGGAGCTATGGCCCGAATTCTAATTGCCAGAAATTGTGTTGCAAGCAACTTCAGGTGTCAACGTACATGCTACACACTACTGTCAACATACATGGGGGACCCAAGAATTTTTTTCACGTGATGTTGTAGTCCTCTGATAGTAGCAACAATTTCAAAAGAAAAGCTTGGGATCTCTGTGTAGGTTGAAGATTAGAGCATCTAAATTGGTACATTCCACGGGGGGTGCCAAAAAAGGGGTGTGGCCTGCTCGGTCCAGGAGGGGTCAATCGTCGAGGTCATCGTCGATTTCTCTATTCCCAGACCCAAACTATATAACCCAGAAGTTTGAAGGAATTTGGAGATAGTGAAAAATCCACTTTTGCCAATATTAGGCTGGTCTTAGAAAAAGTCACTCTTAAGAAAACAGAGTGAAGCTGTAATAGTAGTATATATCCCACTACTGCCAGCAGCTATAAAAGGTATTGAACCTTCTATATTTAACACTGGTGGGGCTATATACTATTACTATACTCTCACTCTTCATTCTTAAGAGTTACACACAGGAGAAGAAATAAGCATGATACGAGACTGGTCAGTGCAGGGTGCGATGCCTGGCTCGCCAGCACCGGCGAGGGCACAGCTGGGGGCAGTGAGTAGAGAGGCTGGGTCGCTCTTAGAGAGGGTGTGAGTCTGAGTGTGAGGGAGAAGTCAAGTAGGGGTCGCCTTTATCTGACTAGGCAGGCAGAAATAATGGGACCGTGACTTTGGGTGTATACTTACACAGTGTGGAACAGCATGGAGCTTGCATGACGGAATATGCTAAGCAGTATGTTAGAGTACGTGAAGGTGTGTGTGTGTGTGAAAGTGTGTGTATGTGTGAAAGTGTGTGTGTGTGTGTGCACATGTGTTGTGTGTGTGTGTGTGTGTGTGTATATGTATGAAGGTGTGTGTGCATGTTTGAGTGAAGGTGTGTGCGCACGTGTGTGCTTGCATGTATATGTGAAGGTATGTGTGTGTAATGGTGTATATATGTGTGTGAAGGTGTATGTGTGTGTATGAAAGTGTAATCGTAAGCATGTTAGTGTGTTTGAGTGCTATAATACAGTAGTTTCCTCTATAAAATTATATTCATTTATGTATGAGGATACCCAAGTATATCTTGGGATCCAAGTTTTAAAAATTTAGCACCAACTTGACAAATGGCTTGCCCTCCTGCTGTTTG